GGGGGGGGAGGAGGCTGAACGGGTCTTGGATCTCTCAGATGCAAGCCCCGTTCAGCCTTCCCATGGGCTCCCTGGGCTTGGGGGGGAGGCTGAACGGGTCTTGGATCTCTCAGATGCAAGCCCCCTTCAGCCTTCCCATGGGCTCCCCTGGGCTTGGGGGGGGAAAGGCTGAACAGGGCTTGGATCTCTCAGATCTCTTCAGCCTTCCCGTGGGCTCCCCTGGGCTTGGGAGGGGGGGAGGAGACTGAACAGGGCTTGGATCTCTAAGAGATCCAAGCCCTGTTCAGCCTCCCCCCCCTCCCAAGCCCACAGGAGCCACTGGCACATACTCACCCGACGCACATACTTTCCCCCCCACTTTTGGGGGCGGGAAAAGTGCGTCTTATGGAACGAAAAATACGGTACCTTCCTATGGACATGGATCTGTCACACAGACAATTCCTTCGCTTCAGGCAAGGTTAGGAGGTGTTTCAATATACTGATCTCCTTTTTGACCTTGCTACTGCCCCAAGGGTCTTCACCAAATGTATGGCAGTAGTGGTTGCACACTTTTGCACAGGGGGTTGTAATATCTTCCCTTATTTTTATGATTGGCTCATCGTAGCTCCCAATAGGGACCTTTTAAAGAATCATGTTCAGTTAATCCTCTCCACTTGTGCCTGGCTAGGCCTGGTGGTGAATTGGGAGAAATCCCGTTTGGAGCCTTCCTGACTGGTACAATTTGTAGGAGCAAAGGCTTTCTAGGGCCAGGGCCTTTTTGGTGGCAGCTCCTACTTGGTGGAACGAGCTCCCGGAGGAGATCCGGGCCCTGCAGGACCTTGCACAGTTCTGCAGGACCTGTAAGATGGAGCTCTTCCACCAGGCTTTCGTGTAGGAGCCGCCACCACTGCACCACCACCACCAACTAGGCTGGGTAACATCGGGGAGTGAGATGGCCCCGTGACAATGAACGATAGTGCTGCCTGGAACTGATAGCACCGACCTGGGACCATCACCATCAGGATGCCATCTTGTTACTGAAGACCTTTTTTGAGACAGCTAGAGCACCTTGTATTTATTGGTATAAATGACTATAAATTGATTGTTTTATCTTGTTTTTAACTGTTTTAACCATTGGCATACGTGCCCAGTTTGTGAACCGCCCTGAGCCCGCTCGCCGGGCGGGCGGGCTATAAATCTCATAATAAATAAATAAATAAAAATACTAGAGCAATTTGTAGGGGCAAAGGCTTTCTACTAGAGCAAAGGCTTTCTTACCTGTAGACAGGGCAAGAGCCCTGAAATCCATGCTAAAGAGTCCCAAGCGCTTTAACCTTCCTTCAGCTTTCTTGAGAAAGAGTCCCAAGCGCTTTAACCTTTCTTTAGCTTTCCTGAGAAAAAGATTGCAGTCTGTTAAAACCATACAGAGACTATTAGGCCTGATAGCATCCACCACTGCTGTTATTCCACTAGCTAGGTGTCACATGCATGGGTTACATATCTAGTTTGTAAAGAAATATGACCCCACTGAACAGGGTCCTGGCTGTTACTTCTCTGTCCCCAGGGTGGATCTAAAATCCCTCTATTAGTGGTTGAAGGGGGCTAACCTTTTCATGGATGTTCAGTTTGGTTTCTGGGTTCCTGAGGTTATCCTTACCATGGATGCTTCCCTGGTAGGTTGGGACGCCCACTGTGAAGGGTTTTTGGGATCTTCCCTTAGCAGAGGCCTCATATCAACATTCTAGAGCTTTGTGCCATTAGACTTGACCTTATCACATTGGCAGATATTCTCGGGGGCAGGGGGATTTTGATTCAAATGGATAATGCCTCCACAATGTGTGGTGTGGGCTCCTGGAAGGCTCCCTCTGGAGGCCATAGTGGCTTGGGAGGTGGCAATCCATCTATTTCCCAGAGCTATTCACATAGCAGGAAGTCTGAATGTGGAGGCAGACAATCTGAGCAGGGTGTATCAGACCAATTACAAGTGGTCTATCCAGTCCAAGTATCTCGACATGGTGTTCAACACATGGGAGTATCCTCAAGTGGATCTGTTCACCATGGCTGAGGTGAGGAAAGCTGTGGATTTTTGCTCCCTAGTGGGCAGTGACCTTGCCTCACTAGGGGATGCATTTCAGATCCCGTGGTCGGGGACCCTATTCTATGCATTCTCTCCCCTCCCCCCCCCACCACACAGTCCTCTTCTGAGCAGGGTGATAGGGAAACTTGTGGCTGAGGGTTCAGACTGCATTCTTGTAGCCCCTTTTTGGCCACGTCAAATCTGGTTTGCAGAGCTGTACTGCATTGCAGATTCAGGATTCATAATGTTCCCACCTGCTCTGGATCTACTGACAAACGGTCGGCTTCTGTATCACGATATTGCAAGACTGTATCTTGCAGCATGGAGAATCCGGCCCTAAGGACATCCTTTTGTCCTGGAGTACAGGATATCCTTTTGCAAGCCAGAAAGTCCTCTATGAGGCATTGTTATGGTAGAAAATGAGTCTGTTTTGAGTCCTGAGCATCATAGAAGGGATTACTCCCCTTGGTTTGCCCACTGCCCTGTGTCTCAGAGTACTTACTTTCCTTAGCTCAAGAAGGGTTGGTAGTATTTTTGGTAAAGACCCACCTCACAGCCATTTTGGCATTTCATGAAGAAGTAGATGGTAGTTCTCTTTTCTCACACAGTTAGCTCAGCATTTCCCCAAGGAATTGTCAAATGTTTTTCCTCCTACTCCTCACATCATTCCCCAGTGGTCTTTGCCACTGGTGTTGACCAGTTGATAAAACCACCTTTTGAACCTTTGTCCACATGTCCTCTAGTGTTGCTTTCAAGGAAGGTGGCCTTTTTGGTGGTGGTGACTTCTGCCAGAAGGGTGAATGAGTTGGTGGCCCTCAGGGTAGATGCTCCCTTACTGAAGGTTTTTAATGAGAGGGTTAGTGCTTCACCCCAGCTTGCACTTCCTCCCCAAGGTGGTCTCCAAATTTCACCTGGCACAGGAGATCGTCTTGCCAGTTATTTTCCCTTCCACTGGATTGGAGGCTGAAAAAGCTCTGCATAAGATGTTAGGAGGGCCCTATTATATTGAAAGGACCAAATCCTTCCGTAAAGCTTTTTGTGCTTATTGGGGCCCTAAAAAGGAGAGGGCTGCCTCCTCGTAATCTCTGTTCCAGTGGGTGGTTGCTGCCATTCACTCCTATTAAATGGCAGTGGGAAAGTCCTTTCCGATGAGTGTCACCTCTCAAGTGCAAGGTTCCTTAGCTGCTTTCCACAGAAGGGTCTCCCTAGTGGACATCTGCAAAGCTGCTACCTGGTCGGTGGGGATTATGTTTGTAAAGCACTACGCACTGGACCTGCAAGCTAGGAGAAATGCCAGTGTGGTGAAGGCGGTCCTTCAGGCTTTGTTCCAGTGAGAGCATGGCCCCTCTTTCTCTGGTAGGTAGCTTGAGAATGGTCCTGATGTGGGGCTGCACTGAAGATGGAAGATGAAAACAGGGTTGCACTTACTTGTAACTGTTGTTCATCAGCGTCTTCTGTGCAGACACACATTTCTTCCCTCCTGCCCTGCTGTGAGCTCTTGCATGAGTTTCCCCCTACATTTAGGAGATCGCAGTGGCCTTGCAGGAACTGAGGGAAGGGGATGCCTGCTGCCGGAACACGTGTCGGGAAAGCATGTGGAGCCTGTGTACACCGGCTCCAGATTAGGGCAGGGCTCCCCTTTTAGGAGTTTTATACTAGGGCCTTGACCTGGATAGCCCAGGCAAGCCCAATCTCATCAGATCTTGGAAGCTAAGCAGGGCTGACCCTGGCAAGTATTTGGGTGGGAGACCTCCGGAGAATACCAGGGCCGGACGTCCAGAGGCAGGCTATCAAGCCACTTCTCTGAATGTCCTCCATGCCCCAGTAGGAGTCGCCAGAGGTTGCCATGACTTCCAGGCATGCACACACAAATGGAGGGAGAGAGGGAGGGAGGGGGGAGAGGAGAAAGAAAGAAAGATTTAAACTAGGAACAAATGTTCCATGGCTGGCCTCTGCAAACACAGTCCCAGTGTGTGCCTGCACAGAATACGTTGATGAACAACAGCTACAGGTAAGTGCCACTCTGTTTTCAATATAGTGATGAACAAATTTGCTTTGCTTTCTGCAGGTTTTGGAAATTCTAGGGAAGAAATTCCCTGTTACAGAGAATGAAAAAGGTTATAAAGTATTGCCTCCATACCTCAGAATTATTCAAGGAGATGGAGTAGATATCAACACATTGCAAGAGGTAAGACTTCCCCCCCCATTAAGATTTGTTTAAATTCCTTATCTCTTCATGCAGAGATAGAGAAAGAAATAGAGGCGATATATCGTAGAAACTCGGCGTATGCAAGACGAAATAAAAAAAAAAAGAGAGAGACACATAAAATTCTACAAAAGGGAAATAAAAGATAAAATACTTAAAATTGCAAATGAGAAGAAAATAAAGATAAAGGAGGTGGAAGTAAATTTCTTAAAGGAAACGCCTTGGCGGGTTAGGGAGAGGAGGAGAGAGTACAGTACCCTGACAAGCCTACTGAGAAAAAACGCAATCAGCTATAGATGGTTACTGCCAGAAGGGGTCTTATTCACATATGCAAGTAGACGCCAACGAATAGACTCCATATTTAAAATAACTTTTTGGAACAATATGGGGAGGACTTAGGATGGAGAAAGGAGCAAGATGAAGAAGAAGAAGAGGAAGAAGAAGAAGAAGAGGAGGAAGAAGAAGAAGGTGCAAGGGCTAGAGTAGAAGGAGAAGTGATGGGGAGGGGCAGGAGAAGAAAAGCGGGGAAAAAGGAGAAGAAGGGAGTTAAGATAACCCCATCCCAAGTACAAACTAGATTCCAATATAAAAAGACATATCGTAACTACAAAAACCTAAGATCCTGAAAATGTCAGGGAATAGGAATTTTAAAATTGTATCAATAAACATTAACGGACTGAATAGTCCCCAAAAAAGAAGAAGGACACTCCATCAAATTCACAAAATAAAACCTGAAGTTACATGCTTACAAGAAACACATTTAAAAAAAGCAATAAGGGGTACCTAGTGAATAAAAAACTAGGCCAGGAATTTATAGCCTCAGATGTAAAGAAAAAAAATGGAGTTGGTAATATATGTAAAAGAAGCACTCTCTCCAGAGTTAGTATATGCAGATGATGAAGGTAGAATTGTAGCAGGTAAAATAAAGTGACAAGGGAAAGAAAGTATGATAATCAACATTTATGCTCCTAATCAAAGGCAGGAAACCGTCTACAAAAAATATACGACTTGATAAGCAAATTTAATATACAAAATATATGTATTTTGGGGGGCTACAATGCAGTATATGACGACAAGATGGATAGGAAAACAGGGAGAAAGAAAGGGAAAGGCCAAGAACTACCAAAAACATTTGTAGATATGGCAGAAGAGTATAATTTGCTGGACTTATGGAGAGTTAGAAATATTGGAACCAAAGACTTTACATATTATTCTGCCAGGCATGACTCATGGTCTAGGATAGACATGGTATGGGCAACATTAGATTGGGTCCAAGAGTTGGTGGAGGTGGAAATTGCACCAAAAACATTTGCAGACCACAACCCCATTCTAATCTCCCTTAAGGAGAGGTGGAAAAAATATAGATGGAGAATGAATATAGGGCTTCTAAAGGACAAAGAATTTATAAAAACCACTAAAATAGAAATCCAAGAATTTTTCAAAAGAAACATACAACCAGAATCATCCATAGAAACAGTATGGGAAACCTTTAAAGCCTATATAAGAGGGTGGTGCATAAACCAGGAGGCATGGAGGAAAAAGAAAGGGAAGGAAGTCTATAAGAAAACTCTACAAAAAGTCAAAAAGCAAGAAGATGAACTAAAAGGGAGGAATAGTGTAGAAGGAAAAAACAAATTAAAACTTTTGCAACATGAAATGAATTTACTGCTAATACAGGAGATAGCGAGAAAACAATATGCAAAACAATATCTCTTTGACAATGCGAATAAACCAACAAGATGGCTAACTTATAGACTGAGAAAGGAAAGAGAGAAACGCACAATCCTAACTTTAAAGGACAAAAAGGGGTGTCCCAAACAGGATATGCAAGATCTAAAAAGAATTGTAGAACAGTTCTACTCCAATTTATATAAGCAAGAAGAACAGGACAAGGAAAAAATAAAGGAATATTTACAAGTTAACAAAGATGGAGAATTTGAGGAGAAACACAGAAAACTACTAAATGAAAATATCTCAATGTGTGAGGTAGTGGAAGCAATAAAAAAACAAAAAGAAAAAAGCCCCGGGACCAGATGGAATCCCGGCAGAGCTATATCAGATTTTTGAAGAACAGATAAGTCAACCATTTAAGGAGTTAATACATAAAATAGGCACAGTAGGTAAATTACCGAACTCATGGTATCAAGCGGCAATAACATTAATACACAAAACAGATACAGATCCCACAGAGATTAAAAACTATCGGCCAATATCACTCTTGAATGTTGACTATAAAATATTTGCCAATATCTTGGCAACAAGATTTTAAAAAATTCTGGGACACGTGATACACCACGATCAAGCAGGCTTCCTACCAAAAAGGCAAATTAAAAGTAATATGAGGACGATTATGGATGTGATAATTATGAACAACACCCAGGGAAACAGTTGGCTTTGATGTTCATGGATGCAAAAGCCTTTGATAACTTATCCTCTGAGTTTGTTCTGCAAAAACGAAGTTGCTGGGGAGGTGGAAGATCATTCATAACAATGATAAGGGCAATATACAACAGACAATATGCTAATATAATAATAAATGGAGATGCCTCCGCACCAATTGAGATACAAAAAGGAATGCGACAGGGCTGTCCACTTTCACCTCTATTATTTATATTCGCGCTAGAAACATTAAATAGTGTGATAAGAAAAGATAAAGAAGTAATAGGACTCAGAACAAGAGGGGAAGAATTTAAACTCCTAGCATTCACGGATGATCTAGTATTTATAATGGAAGACCCAATAACTTCATCCCAGCGGGTACTGAGTAATATACAGGAATTTGGGGGTAATGCAGGATTAAAGCTGAACCTGAAAAAAACTAAATGCATAACAAAAAATTGTGAGGTAAAAGTTATACAAAATTTACAAATAATAACCAACATACAGGTGGTGAAAAAAATTAAATATCTAGGAATAACATTATCCAACAAAACTAGTACAATCCTGGAAGATAATTACCATAAATTACAAGAAGGAATTAAAAAAGACCTTTTAAAATGGAAAAAATACAGCTGTCATTAATGGGAAGGATATCTGCCTTTGATAACTTATCCCACTGTTGCCCCCCCCCCCAAGTACCAAGAATACAGAGCATCACTTGCCCCAGACCGAGTACTTATCTATACCTTGTGGCTGATAGCCACTGATGGACCTCTGTTCCATGTGTTTATCCAATTCCCTCTTGAAGCCGTCCATTCCATGTGTTCTGCTCAGTAATTTCATTGAGTGCCCACGTGTTCTTGTACTGTGAGAAAGGGAGAAAAGTACTTCTTTCTCTACTTGCTCTATCCCATTCATAATCTTGTAAACCTTTTTCATGTCACCCCTCAGTCGCCGTTTCTCCAAGCTAAAGAGCCCCAAGCACTTTAACCTTTCTTCATAGGGAAAGTGTTCCAACCCTTTTATCATTCGAGTTGCCCTTTTCTGCACTTTTTCCAATGCTATAATATCCTTTTTGAGGTGTGGTGACCAGAACTGTACACAGTACTCCAAATGAGGTCGCACCATTGATTTATACAGGGGCATTATGATACTGGCTGATTTGTTTTCAATTCCCTTTCTAATAATCCCCAGCATAGTGTTGGCCTTTTTTATTGCAGTTGCACACTGTCTCAACATTTTCATTGAGTTATCTACTACGACTCCAAGATCTCTCTCCTGGTCAGTCTCTGCCAGTTCGGACCCCATCAATGTTTATTGATATTTAGGATTTCTGGCTCCAATGTACATCACCTTGCACTTGGCCACATTGAACCCCACTTGCTTTGGTTAAGACTTTGGTCATATAGACCTGTAATAAATTGAATTGAATTGAACCCCATTTGCCATGTTGACGCCCACTCTCCCATCCTCGAAAGATCCCTTTGGAGTGCTTCACAATCCTCCCTGGTTCTCACCACCCTGAACAACTTTGTGTCATCTGCAAATTTAGCCACTTCACTGCTTACTCCCAACTCCAAAACATTAATAAACAAGTTAAAAAGCATCGGACCGAGTACTGATCCCTGTGGTACCCCACTGCTTACCACCCTCCACTGAGAAAATTTCCCACTTATACGCACTCTCTGTTTCCTATTAATTAGCCAGTTTTTGATCCACAAGAGGACTTGTCCTTTTATCCCGTGACTATTGAACTTACTTTGGAGCCTTCGATGAGGAACTTTATCAAAAGCTTTCTGGAGCTAGAGGTCATGCTGTGTGAAGTGTACTCAGATAGGTGATTGTGCACTCCCCCCTATCCCTAGCACTCTTTAGGCTGCTCTGATAGATCCTTTGGATCGAAGTTTTTGTAGGGCACTGTGAGTGCTGCAGATGGCAGGTAGAGAAGTCACACATCTTATGATAGCAAGAAACAGATCTCCAGGCACTGACTGGTATCACTCAATAGAATTTTGGTATTAGGTTACATAGTAATCAGTTTTTTTCTAAGCAGTTCTCTTTTCTTAAGCTTTGCTTTACGTGTATGAAAAATGATCACATTTGTGTTTACATAGTTTATTAATTTTAAAGTAATATTTTCTTATTTGTGAGCCAGGCCTAACTATCCCTGAGTACATACTTACCTGGAGATATGTAATGTTTTGCCAGCAAATTATGTATGCAGTTGGCAAAATTTTTCCTGTTTAGGAAGGGAAACAGAGTTGGAGAAACATCATAGATTCTCCATGTGAATGAAAATCTAAGGAAGGTTGGAAGAAGAAAAGTTGCAGAGCCAATTGATTAGTATGAACCTGGGTTGGTAATGTATGATAAAAATAAACTACTATAGACCTGTTGAGCGGCTAATTTGTTGACCTCTTGTAATGCTTGAATGCTGCTGGTAACTGGCAAGATACTACTTGACCTGTACAAAGCACTGTCTGACCTTGAACTGAAATAACATGTGGACAAACTCTAACTGAAGAGGTGGCAGAGTTTGTGTTCTTTGAGAATAAAAAGGGCTATGTTGTATGCATCCCCAGAGGGTGCTGTCATGTTAATAAGATGCCTTACCCACTCTTTCTCCAAAAGAAAGCTACTTGGACAGAAGTTAATTTTCTCTATGGGCTTTGCTCAGAATGATACAAAATGACACTCCTGGACCCCGTAAAAATATACCAATGGTACAGTTCTTTGGTGATGAATTTCTCTAATTCAGATGACATTTTAAAATGAAAATCCAATCAGCATGCTTAGTATCAGTGGCTGTTAAATGAACTCCATTCCTGTTATATCTATGGTCTGTAAAAGAACACCATTCTAAATGTATGATATGGAAAAATATCATGCCTGATTTGCCCAGTTCTTAAAATACTTTCTGCGACTTTCTTACCAGATTGTGGAGGGAATGAAGCAGAAGAGATGGAGTATTGAGAACATAACCTTTGGGTCTGGTGGAGCTTTACTGCAGAAAATAACTAGAGATCTACTGAATTGCTCCTTCAAATGCAGTTACGTGGTAACCAACGGTCTTGGGGTATGTTCTTGAAATGTAGCTTTTACATGGGGGAAGGGATTAGTCCATTGATTTCACTGTTCGTTGTGTCTGAGAGCTGCTTTGGAGGGAGGATTAACTTTGCTCACAGCATCTTTCACTTTGTGTTTAGGTAAATGTCTTTAAAGATCCTGTAGCTGATCCCAACAAAAGATCAAAGAAAGGCAGGTTGTCTTTACACAGGACGCCAAATGGAGAGTTTGTTACCCTAGAAGAAGGCAAGGAAGATCTTGAATATGGCCAGGTATGTCTGATTTGATCCCTTGGTTTAAAAACAGGTAACAGCATCTGTCATTTTTGTAGCATGCTGTACAGTTGCTTGCAATACTGCCACATTCATCTCTACAGGCACTTCTTGTTGTTCAGTCGCACAGTCGAGTCCGACTCTTCGCGACCCCATGGACCAGATCCCGCCAGTGCCTTCCTACAGGCACTGCTATACACTTATCTGAGCTCTTTGTTACTTTCACATACACAATGGTGTTTTGCTCCATCTCCCAACATAGCTTCAGACACAGTATTTTTCAATGGAAACATCAGAGTTTCAGTGAAGAATTCTCAAGTGATAGGACACATGATGAGTTTGTATGTGTGAATGGACACAGTGTTTCATCTTGATGCAGGGTTAAATGTGGGTATTAGTGTTAAAGCTCTGGCTTCAGTTGCCCACTTGCAATGGGGTCTGTTAGGTATATGCCTAAGAACCTGATCTTGCATTACATCAAAACTAAGCTGAGCTCTGACAATTGAAAGGGGAAGGAGTAGGGAGAACCAGGTGCCAAAGAAGTAACAAGACAAAGGAAAGCCAGTAGATAGAGAGAAGCAACCAGCAGTTTATATCCTCTCAATTTGTCTGCCTGCGGCCCCTGTCTCAAAATCTTCAAGAGGAAGAACCTGTCTAAGATGTGGTTACTTCTGACATGATTAATGTAACAATATGAGCTGCTGTGAGTCACAGCTCACTTCAGATATGCTCACAAGAAAGGTGAACATTTAAATAGGTCTTGCCACATTGCATCTTACAGCCTGGCCATTTATTGATCTGTGTCTGTGCCCAGAGTAGTATGTCCATCTAGCATCAACAGTTTGAGAAGTGTAATATTGTTTTACTGAAACTGGAAAAAATTGTCTTGCAGGATCTTCTTCACACAGTGTTTAAGAATGGAGTAGTAATGAAATCTTACTCATTTGACAAAGTGAGGGAAAATGCCAAGCTGAAGACAAGTGAACTGGAAGTGGCCCTTCACTAAAGTTTCTTTCCACATTTGTATGTGTGTAACAATTATGTACTACATAGCTAAAGATTTCCTGTACAGATCTGTGTGTTTGTGTTTGCCACATTGTAGCCAAATTATTTGTTGGTTTATGGACATCACTGCCCTATTTTTTTTCTTACCAATCTTGAGAAAAGATGGAATTGGGAAAATACTTGTGGTGTAAACCATGTTCAGTGCACTTCTAAGGCCTTTTGCCAGTAGTAATTCAATCTGGTATTGATCTGCTCACAAGTGACAGAGCTGAGACTTTATTTGTGTATGTATATGGATACCACAAAACAGATTTGCATAAAAGTATCATTGCTTTATGTTTATATTTAACTTGTATTTTTGTACAAATAAGATTGTGTAAAATGTATTTAAAGTTTCAATAATTACGTCTTTCCAACTTTTCATGATTTTTAAGAGCACAGACTTTCAAGGAAATACTTGGGGTGGGGGAATTCATTGCCTTTTTTGTCCATTGATCAGCAAATAAAACATGGCCTTAAAAAGTTTTATTGTGACAACTGCTCTATTTGAACATTTAATCGGGATTCATTGGTCCCTTGGGATCCCACAGAAGTACAGATCTCGCTATTCATTCTGGTTATATCTGTGTCAGTCGACGACTATGTTTCTGTTCTCAGTGGAATGGTGAAGTTCTATAAATAAAGAGACCTTGCTAGATGGCAAGAAATGTAAATGGAATGCCAAATGTGAAAGGACTTTTTACAGCCACAGAGATTGCCAAGTGTGCCTCTGTGTGTTAATAGTAAGATCACAGCCCTAAGCATGCTTATCTGGGCGTAAGTCCCATTCAGGTCAGTGGGAGTTACTTAAAGCAAATATGCATGCGATTGGGCCACAAAACTTCTAAGGGATCTCATCTTCTGCTACAGCCTGTTGCCATGTAAAACACCATTATGGAAGTGGTATATTAAACACTTTGGGGTTTATTTTTCCACGTTATGACATCTCTAAAGCAAATACTGGACTGAATAGTGCACTTTTTAACTTTTTTGTATTTTGGTCATTGATTTTTGCCGTTTTGTCACTGGATATTATATTGTATAGACATCTTGACTATTTTTTGTTAAAACAATTTTAATAAAACATGCTAGCCAAACTCCTTTTACATTGGTAGCATCTCCTATAGGGGAACACTATGCAGAGGTTAACTATTTTAAAAACAGTTTTAAAAAAAGGGAATGAAAGGTACTCTTCTTTTTTGTGACTGAACTTGATTCACTTTCTGTGTATGCTCTGAATTGCTTATTAAAAGAACAAGATGGTCAGTGATGTGACCTGACAAACTGTATTAAGTTCTCAGGTATGCAGCCATGTTTTGGGACAGTTCCTAGAAAAGAAAGACTTGCCCACTTTTGTAGAGGAAGCACAATAATGGCCTTGGACTAGCTTTGAGGTATAAAATCTCTGGTCGCTGCTGAGGGGGCACTTGGTTTCATCAATTGGTTTTATCAATACTATGGGGTATGGTTTACCCAAAGTATCACAAAATTCAGATAACAAAGATAATAACTTTTAAAGTGCTGGAAAAGCCATATTTTAACATTCTTACTAAGGATCATATTTAAATACCAAGACACACAGTTTGCTTAATAAGGTTTCTGCCATTACTGTATATGGTTATACACAGATGTAGTAATTAAGAACAATGGCTTGGCTAACTCTCTACATTCTGGCTTTCACACTCAAAAGCAGCCTGTCCTGCCCCTGATGACTGCATTTGAGTTTTTCAGAAAATGGAATGAAAGTCAGCAGAGGCTTTCACCACCATACAATGGATTGGAGCCCTTTAAAAAAAAATATGCATGGATGGTGTGTGTGTGTGTACTCACACACACACACACACACAGAGGCAGATTCCTCTTCCTGCACCAGTCCTCCAGTTCCCTCTTTGTGCTGCTCCTGGAGTCCTCTGTCCCTAAGGAACAGCATTTTGGGCTGCTATGTAAGGGAAACAATGGAAACGTTTTAGATGGAATCCAACCCAATGCACTGGGGGGGAACAGACTGTATGATAGATGGTACCAAAAACTGGTAAATCTGCATAACTAATATTTTTGTACTTGAAATCTGTAGAAAGGCACTATTATGTACTCATAATTCCCTGACTGAATGTTTAGTTTCTTAGTTGTTTCATAGTTCGATGCTATGAATTTCTTCAGCTTAGATTTGTTAAATAAAGAAAATCTTATCTTTCAAGTCAACCTGGTGCTAATGAGTTCTGGGCTCTTACCACTAAGGTTTTTAGTGTTAGACAGTTGACATCTCCATCAATTTCATGTTGGATACAACTTACTGCAGAGCTTGAAGCTTAAATATTCTAATTCTTCCATACAGAAGCAAACAGCATGCTTGGTTTTTGCTTTGAACAGTTGTAGGAACTGATACCTTTAAGCTCCCCATTCTGAACAGTTAAATACCTTTATTTTAAAATGGCCATTGGGAATCTTCCACTGTTGACTCTAAACATTTATTTGTAACCTGTATTTAACAAATTATGACGTATTTTTTCCTCAGATGAATGATTATGAAATTGATATAAAATCTTTTTATAGCAAAGATTGCCTTGGAAGATTTGTGATGTATTTATTGTTTGCCAAAATTCAAACAAACAGAATTTTCCTCTAGTTTTACATTCCTTAATCTACCTAGCAAAGTAAGTATTTATCTATGTTGAAGTAGTTATAATGTACCTGGAATCAAAGATAAATGTAATGAACATAGAAATAAAGTTTTAGTTCCAGTAGTGAAATTTCCAGCTATTTGGCTTATTTTAGAATCGTGCTGTTTAATCAGCAAATAACTTGTACGTATATTGTGAAATGCCTAAAGTATGGTGCCTGGAACTAGGGATGGCTGGCCTTTGCTCTCGGCATGTAATCTGTTCTCCAGACGTTATCCAGAGGGTATCTTGTGAATCCCGGTTAGGGTTGCCAACCCCCCCGGTTTGCCAGGGGTCCCCCATTTTGGGGGGGGTTCAGAAGCCCCATCCCCAACCCCCACAGCCACCCATCGCTCTCCCTTTAAGTGTGTAGAACCCGTGTTTCCTCCCAAGCCTGATCTCCATAAGCTTGCAGGGAAATGCCAGCTTCGTGCTCTTAAAAGGGAAACGCAGCTGCTCTTAAAGGGGAAACGCCGGCTCCTGCATTTAAAAGGGAAACGGCGGCTCCTTTAAGTGCAGGGAACTGCCGTTTCTGGAGATCTGGTGCACGGGCGGGGGGGGGACGTCCCCAACGTGACGTCATCACGTCGGGGATGCCCTGCCCCCTCCAGGAACGCCCTCAAAGTCCCCCGCTTGGGGTGGAAGATGGACTTGGCAACCCTAATCCCGGTTAACCTGGTAGCCTTGGACAGTTCTTGCAGATTTGTAGAAAAGGTGGAACTACCATGTTTCCCCGAAAATAAGACACTGTCTTACATTTATTTTTTCTCAAGAAGACACACTAGGGCTTATACCACAAATGCATAGAAATCCTGCTAGGGCTTATTTTGGGGGTAGGTTTTATTTTCGGGGAAACAGGATATATTTTCTTCAGCTGAACTTGAGCATGTGTTTCTATATGAGCATCAGATTTCTCTTATATTCATTTGTGTTGTGGCTTTGTACTTCCAAAACTGCAGTGTGTAATACCAAAGTACCCCCCCCCAAAAAAAAAGGACATGAAGTTTTCTTATGCAGCTTCAACCTGCCTCTGTGCATTAAAAGGCTAGTATAGAAGAACAGACAAAATTGTCTTTGCTGTCTGTGGGTACTCGGCTTCCTGTTTAGCTGTGCATGCAGTGTTTAAGAAGTAGCTAAACTATGTGCAAAGCTTCTCAAAAGCAATGCCTTGGATATACCTGTAGTGAAATATTTTGAGTATTTACATACCACTTTTCTACTTTATACAGATGTGGCAGAAGTTCTTCCTCTTGGAAAAGCATGATCTGGAAAGGGGCTGAAGTTTAGTGAGAAAGCACATACTTTATACACAGATGTCTGAACTTCAGGTTGCTCTATCTGTTGATGGATGGCCGGCCAGATGTCGCCCCAGACATTTTGAACAGGGCTTTAGAGGCCGCGGTGTTACCCATGACAGCTTTAATAAATAAATCCTTGCCTTTGGTTGAATTGGGGAAATTAGCAGCAAAGGCAAGAGCTAGCAACAGGTTGGGGTAAAAGCGAGGACCTACTATATGTGTTTATGGAGATAGTCCCTGGCTGAGTTAATAACCAGTCCAAATTGTGAATGAAATGGGCTTTTTAAGGAAAAATAATAATTTGGATATTTCCACTCAAATCAAGTTTTGCAAGCATACAAGAAGAAATAAAAGCTGACAGAAAGGTGGGGGATCAGGGTAATACTATACCTATCTTGAACAGGCGCAGAGGTCCGGAGGTTGGAGAGTGAAGATGCATGGACCCAGCCAGGGAGACCATGGAGGACCTGAGTTATGATCAGGGGTGATGGCTTTGTGCGCACCCAGCTCAATCACACTATGCCTGTGTGGAACGGCCTATAGTTATACCCCAATATGATTCCTGGAAGTATGCTAAAGTGTGGTGACTAGTCTCACAATGGATTTATGGGATTCCCATTGTGGAACAATAGCGTGATCTGGCATTTCCCTGGTGTCAGATAATGGAGGTGAAGTTTCTTAATGTGTGACAGGATGAACCTGAATGGGTGACCATTCAACTGGTAATATTTACCTTGATGGGTCTGGCATAGGTGTAATGAATGCAGATATTTTAGACAAACACATAGAAACAGGAATGAGAAGATTATCTAGAAGGTATTTCCTGACATTCAGGTGTGACAGGATTTGGGGCAGGAAACATCCAACATACTCCATTCATGACAGAGACACAGACCAGTGGCTCTTTGTCTCTGTCTGCCTGTACATTTGACAGACAAAAGACCGGTCATTTGGTCAGGAGGAGATGCCTTAGGCAAGAGCAGAGATTTGTCCATTCTTTGCCTTATGGACTGAGCATAGACGAACTGGAGGGGTTGTCTTGCATGGAGGATGTTTGGCAGTGCAGCTAGCCCTGTGCTCTTCACTTGGCCTATGTTTAAACCAAAGTGATATTCTCTTAGTCTCCCAGCAAAAGCCACTACTTAAGCTAGGCCTGGCTTCATGAGGGCACTGCTTTTGGAGGTTCAGAGGTGGTTTTGGGGTGCCTCTTTCTCAGGAAAGACCACTCCTGGTACAGGGGAGGAGCTGCATGTTACAGTGGCTGGATGTTAGTTAGTTTTATTATTACGGTTTTAAGACCAGCATACAATACAAACATAGTATGAAAAAAGGGGAAAAAACCCATAATATACAGAATAAAATCTCAATTTAAAAACTTTTAAAATGCGACTCCCGCAATCTAAGAATCAATGCACAGAACTCAGCGACTGAACGTGTAATCTCTGCATTCTTATCTGATAGAAGCCAGTGAAGTCTTGCTTTGTTCGTATTGATGTGACCAGGTATCCTATCAACTAATGGGGTAATGATTTTAAGATGAGCCTCTCTGTAGAATGGGCAACTGAAAAGCATATGTTCTACTGATTCGACCTCGCATGAAGAGCATGAACATAGCCTTTCAGGGTAGTGGGTTTTATTATACCTTCCTTGAATAACTGCAGATGGAAGGGCAGAACATCTGGCTAGGGCGAATGCCCTTCTATAGTTCTTTCCCTCCACTGAAGTCAGATATGTAGCCGGCTCAATGGTGCTTATGATATTTAGCAATACCCTGAGTTTTGAAGCCTTAGTGATATCAGATTGTCGTTCGATATCCTCAACTCTTTTAATTAGCCCTTTGGCTTGTTCAAATCCATAGGATAGAAGTAGCTGAGGTAAGAAACCAATTCTATGAATATAAAGGTAGACTGCCTTAATCCAACTGGATTTGAAATCATCATGGAATATCAGGGGAAGCAAGCCTTGAGGGTTGAAATGACCTTTCAGCCACATATAGATAGATAAAATACAAACCCTGGCTTCAAACCTAAGATTACCAGACTCAAGTCGTATCTAGGCATTGGATACACAGGAACTTGCAGAACAGCTCTGAAAAATTTGGATTGGACTCTTTCTTGCAATGCAAAGCATGAAGAAGGCGGTTCTAGGAATGTTCCCTTAGAACAGTTGTGCCAATGTTTTGGCCTTAAATAACTTCAAGGCTGCAGGAACAAAATGTCCACCATGAGTTCAAAAAAAATTTAGTATGGCATTTGCGGATCTTTCCCCTAGATCAGCAGCATGTTTGCTGTGCTTAACCCTAGAACCAGAGGCCTGTAAAAACTATGCCCAAGTATTTAAAACTATCAACTTGTTCTATCTGATGGCCATTTATTGCCCAGTTCCTGAGTTTTGGCCTACTCCCAAAGGCTACAATTTTGGTTTTTTGATAGTTAGTTGTGAGAAGCTCCTCCTCACAAAACATGCTGAGCTTCTTTAGGGCTCGCCTAAGACCAGCTGGGGTTCAAGATAATATCACAGCATCATCAGCATAGAGTAAAACGGATATATGCCGGTTGGCAAGTTTAGGGGGATGCAGATCAGAGATATTAAGCCAACTAACTATATTATTTATATAAAAAATAAACTGGAGCTAGTAGACATCCTTGCCTGACACTTCTGAAGGTTTTAATGGGATCAGTAAGATGGCCAAATCTACTGCATCTGACTCTTAGAAAGGTATGATCGGGCAGGGCCTGTAGTAAAACAAAAGTCTTTTATCAATACTTGAATTTAAAAGCTTGTTCCAGAGCCAAGGTCTAGAAACAGAATCAAAGGCAGATTTGAGTATTTCTCGATAAGGTGCTGTAGTATCAGGCAGTGATCAAGTGTAGACCTGCCTGGTCTAAAGCCTGCCTGTTCAATAACCAAGATATTTTCCTGTTCTAACTAGTCTAGGAATTTATTTAATAAATGTCCTGCATAAAGTTTGCTTATGATGTTTAGTAAACTGATTGGTCTATAGTTGGATGCGTCTTCCTTCTTACCCTTTTTATAAAAAGGGACAACTACAGCTAAACCCCATGACTTGGGGATATGACCCATATTATCTATATGAGTAAAAAGGGGAGCTAAAAAAGAGGCCCACCAATCCTTATTCTCTTCTCATCTGATCCTGGGGCCTTGGCATTTTTTAGCAACCCAATAAGGGATTCAATCTCTCTAACAGTTATGGGGGACCATTCCATGATATGTTCTAATATTACCACTGGTGGAGAATGAGCAGTATCATTGTACAGTTCTCTAAAGAAGGAGACCCATCTATCCGCAGGAATACAGGCAGTTATTGGAGACTTAGCACCTGTCGCTCTATAGTGGCTGGATGGTCAGCTGAAGTTGAATCCAACGAATAAGGAAGTCCTGCACCTGAGTCATGGGGACTGAGGTTGGGAATTGGGCTCCCAGTCTTTGGTGGGGAACCATCTTGGGGTGATGCTGGATCCCTTGCTTACTATGGAGGCCCAGGTCACTTTGGCTGCCAGAACCACCTTCTACCATCTTTGGCTAGTCAG